TATCAATTTTTATCAGTCAGTAATTAAGAATGTGTTTTAAAAATATATATCGAATATCACAAATCATTGAAATGACAATATGTGGAAAACATGATCGTATGAAATGTTTTTAATACAAGTGAAACAATAGATAATATTATGGTAAAAATTATTGTCAAACAAAATAATCGCAAAAAGATGTTACAAAACAAAGAAATGTCAAAAATCATGAGAAATATATTAAACAAAATTAACAAAATGTATGTAATCTATCAAAATATGTCGGAAACAATTTTACTAATTATCACAAAACTTGGTTTCTTAGTCCTCGATGTCGATCACTTCAACATCGGATGAGCGGACACTCAAAGAGCTCGATATGTCAATCACCTCAGGACTGACAGGACTAGGACTGCAAGGGTCCAACAATTTTGCTTTGGGACTGCAGTTGAGGGTATAAAGTGTGGTCTTAGTAGCGACGCCAACCATGAGATCCAATCCATTATCAGTAATGGCAACACTGATAATCTGATCGGTGGTAACCCTCCTGTTGATCAAAGGCTTGTGGTGAGTGAGGTAATGGAGGTGTTCGGGAGCAGTAAAGCTGTGCACAAACACATAGCCATCAAATGAAGCGCAGGCGAGCACCGAACCATACAATGCGATACTTGTGATAAAGTCGGCCGATTTGAGCCAATCATTCAAAGGACAGCGTCTGAACACTCGCGAGTCAGTCGTAAAATAGATTTGATTCTTATCTATAAGTCCACACATTTGAGTGACCATTGCTTACAAACAAAACCATAAACTCATTGAACACTTACGGGTGATGAGGAAAAAGATTCCGTCGCCAAAAGAAAACACATTTTTCATCTTATGGGGCATTACATAGATGTCTCCGTCCTGTTCCTCCAGATCCTTCTCGAGGCCGCCTTCAAAGGACAGCTCATTCATTGCACTCCATTTCCAACTGTGATCCGCATCTTTAGAGGTCATCTCCATATTGAACACAACATCACTACAAGCGATCAGATTGTGCTCATGACTGATAAGCTTCATCTGATTCGCGCCACACATCAAACATCACATTAATCGACAAACCGTTCCTTCAAATGGTGCTAAATATGTGTCAAATGGTGTCAAACCTCAAGATTGCTGAAAGAGAAGACTCCCAACCAGTGGTAAGACTTGTAGAACTGTTGGGGACACGAG